ATGTCTCCTTTTTTTGGTATTTTCATGCAAATTCTTCTGCTAATTGGGGTTTAGTCCAATTCTGTATCCTTCCCTTCAAGGCTCAGGGGTCCACGATTATCTTCTGTGTCTGTGTTAATTGGTTTTCCTTTTCTTTGTTGAAGAGGCTCTGTGCAATCCTTCTGCCTAGTCCGCCATCTTGCCGGAACTCCTGTTTCCAACTTTTGTATGACAATCACAAGTGATAATCAACACATCTTGATTGCATCTTCAATCAATTGCAGACTGCAGAAGTTGGTAGAAATCTTTAATGTCCTCATCGTTGGCTTTGGTGATGGGTGCATAAATTTGGATAATAGCCATATCACCTGGTTTTCCTTGTAGGCATATGGATAATAACCTATCACTCACAGCATTGAACTCCTGGACAGATCTTGAAACAGTCTTTGTGACAATGAATCTCACATCATTCGTCTTCAATTTGTCATTCCCGGAACAGATCACATGTTTGATTCAAAATGGCCAAAACCAGGCCATTTCAGCTCACTATTGCCTAGGATATTGATCTTTATGCATTCCATTTCATTTTTGACAACTTCCAACTTTCCTAAATTCTTCCTGCACACGTTCCATTCTCCAATTATTAATGGATGTTTGCATCTGTTTCTGCTAATTTTGAGTCATGCCACATCCACCAATGGAGGTTCCGAAATCTTTACTTTATCCATTGTCTCTACTCTGAGGAGTCAGCTCATACCCAGTCAAATTTTGAGTACCTTCCAGCCTGAGGGGTTCATCTTCTGGCACTATTTCAGACAAGGTTTCAGGCTGTTCATAAAGCTCTCTAATAATCTATCAGACAGTGTTTCACTGCTATTCACAAGGTTTTCACTGGCCAATTGTTTGAGAAGTGGATGGCCTCTTCCTTCTCCCGAGTCTGTCTAAGCCCTGAAGCACCATTGAAAGCTTTCCACCATGGGTAACCCTGTTGGCATTTTGTAACATGGTCACATAGCCTGCAGCCTCACAGCAACATGTAAGTCACCACAGGACGACAAAATGACTGACAAGTTCATCTCCCTTAGTTGTCCCTAACCCCTATGTCCCTGCCTATCTCAGGCCCTGGTCTTAACACAGAGCCACACCCAAGCAAAAAGCAGTGTCCAAGCCCCGGACCCACCTACCTCAGTTCCTGGCCTTAATAAAGAGCCACACCGAAGTGAATAGCAGCCTCCAAGCCCAGGCCTGCCTACCTCGGAGTAAAGTGAAGAGTAAAGTAGAGGGTTAACAAAAAAGAGGAAAAACCTCAATGAGAGATTGACACATGGCTGCAATAATTGGCTCAAACACAGCTGTGATTGTGAGGATGAAACAGGACTGAGCAGGTTCCTTCTGTTCTACGTAGGTTTCCTATGAGCTGGAACCAATTCAAAGGTGCCAAACAACAAAACCACCATGTTTGAGAAAGGAGCAAAGGCGATTCAATGGTGGAAGAGAATGCAGTCTTATAAAATGGGGATAAATCAATTTAAAACAATTGCAAGTGAAATAAACCTAGACATATCTTACTCCTTTCACAAAATAACCCAAAGTGAATTATAGACCTAAGTATAAAACACGAGACCCTAACACTCCTAGAATAAGATAGGGAAAATCCAGGTTGCTGTTGTTTTTTTTTTTTGATGAGTTTAGAAACAACACTGAAGACAGAGTCTTTGAAATAAAAAGCTGATTGAAAGGATATTATTAAAATTGCATACTTCTGTTCTGTGAAAGAAACTGTTCAAAGAATGAAAGGACAAGAAAGAGGTCAAATATTTTGGGAAAAAATCTGAAAATGGCTTGTACCAAAATATACAAATGACTTTTAAACTCAACAATAAGAAAAAACTTTGGGAGCAATTTAAGTTTGTCGACTGAAAGCTCAAGAACTGGACATAAGCTTTGTAGTGTAGTTGATAAGGGCGTTTCTCTCAGGGATGTGGTTTCACGCTCCCAATACTACCATACATGTAGAGTGGAAGGGAAAGATTCAGTGAGTGAATGGTGAATGGAGTCACCCTTTTCACAGTCACAGAGGGAGTTCATAGATAAGCAATAGGATATTCTCTGTATTTCCACTCAGATTTTTGAAAATATATAACCTGTTTTAAAAGTAAATATTACTTGAAATGGAAACAGAAAAAAAGTGCAATGTCAATTACTCATCCTTTCCCAACTTGTTCCATTGATAGAAAGAACAGAACGTCAGTATCTGACACTGAACATCTGTGGGTTTCAGGTGGTGCTTGAGTTACTGCTCCGATGAGCTAACAAAGCTCAGACCGGGAACAAAGTCAAGGACAAAAGTGAGGTGTAAGAGATCCTGGGCAAAGGCTGTGCCTGTCCCTAGAGTCTCACTGAGACGGAAGTAAAGTAGAGCATAGGCGAGAAGGAAGGAGGCCCCTGGGCAAACAGGCTGGAAGGAAAGGAAGCCCTTGATACTGACAGGAAGCACCTTCCTGGCTTCTTCTGCACCTGCTCCGGAGGCTGGTCCCTGGGGCTTGGTTGTTCTGAGTGGCCCCTTGATTCCATCCTCCTCTATGTGGGGAAGATTTATGTCTGAGTTCCTGCTGACTTCTCTCACTGTGTCTTTAGCACAGTAATACACGGCTGTGTCTTCAGCAGTCATGGAGCTCAGCTGCAGGGAGAACTGGTTCTTGGCTGTGTCAGCAACGATGGAGATGCGGCCCTGGAAAGCCGGGTTGTACGTTGTGCTACCTGTCCAGTATCCCATCCACTCCAGCCCTTTCCCAGGCTGCTGGCGGATCCAGCTCCAGTAGTAACTGCTGGTGACAGAGTCCCCGGAGACAGAGCAGATGAGGGACAGGGTCTGGGAAGGTTTTACCAGCGCTGGGCCAGATTCCTGCAGTGTTGGCTCTGATAGGACACCTGGGGAAAAAGATAGTTACTGTGAGACTGCCTCATCTCATAGTGAGGCCCTGTTTGTCCCAGAACTCCAAAGACACTCACTCAAGGGAGCTGCCAGCAGGCAGAGGACAGTGCACAGAGTCTGCATGGCTGTCTGAACAATGAAGACCACCACATGGGACCAGCCTTGCATGGAGATGTCTCTGAGAGACTCTGAGGAAATTTGCATGTGGAGGCCCAGGGAGAGTATAAGAGGCTGAACCATATGACTCAAACTGGGGTTTCCTGCCTGATGCCAGTGGTGGAGAACTGCCACATCTGGCCCTGGTTGATTTGGCTCCCGATTTGGCCAATCTATCCTCTCACTGGCGACCGTGTGTATTCATTCTCTCTCTGTGCCACCTTTGCCCACAGGGTCGTATGTGGGGTCCATAGTGTACAGTGAGCACAACACAAAGGAATATCCATATAGTCAGGTCATGACACACTCTCCATGGTCCTGTCTTGGCATGAACAAGGCCAATTTTCTGCAATTATATTATTTCCCTCTGAAATATTGTGTCCAAAGTGAAGAAAGTGTTGGTGTTCGGGGTCCTCCATGGGACACTGAATGAAGGGCAGGGAAGGAAGAAAACGTTCATAAAGTAAAGGGAAAAAAAAATCTGTGTTTAATTTTTATTTGCTTGAAAAAATGGCAGAAAAAAGTATAATAGGTGAAGGCAGAATTTGGAAATATGCTTGTTTGTTTTTAATATGGATTTACCAGCATCTTGGCTTTTGTTTATGGCTGTTAAGAAAGGAAAACTGGTATGAAGAGTTTCTATGGAATGTCTCCTTCATGTCTGAACAGAGTAGGCTTGAATAGGAAAGAGATCATGTCTCTCCCTGGCGAAGCAGTGTGCTGCTTAGATAGTCATGGTGAAACATGAGTTCCTGTATACAGGAGAGTGTGTGCCTGAGGAAGCACTGGAGTGTGCAGAGAAATGTAGGTGGTATGAAGGGCTGTCTGGAGAAGTCAGGGAAGGGATGATCCAGGGGCAAAGGGACATATGCAGGGAAATTATGGTGGAGCAGGAGTCAGGGAAAGTATGGAACAATATCATTAATGTCGCACGCAAGTAAAATCTTAACTGAAGATAATTCAAAAATGGTTGCAGCAGTGTATTGATAGAGGGTTTCCAGAAACGCAAGCTGGATTCAGAACAGGACATGGAATGAGGTATATCATTGCTGATGTCAGACAGATCTTAAACCAATACCAGAAAGATGTTCCCTTGTGTTTTATTGACTATGCACAATTATTCTATTTTGTGGGTCATAACAAATTATGGATAACATTGAGAAGAACGGGAATTCCAGAACACTTAATTGGGCTCATGAGGAACTTGTACATAGATTGGGAGGCTGTTGTTCAAACAGAACAAGGGAACACTTCTTGTTGTTAGGTGCCATTGAGTCATCTCTGACTCATAGCCACCCTATGCACTTCAGAATGAGACACTGCCTGGTCCCATGCCAGCTCCCCGATCCCTGCTATACTTGAGCCCATTGCCACTGCCACCATGTCAATCCATCTCGTTGATGGTTTTCCCCTCTTTCATCAGGCCTCCACCTTACCAAGGATGACATCCTTCTCTAGGGAATGGTCCCTTCTGACAGCATGACAAAGTTGGTGAGACAAAGTCTGGTCATTCTCGCTTCCAAGAAGCATTCCGGCTGCACTTCCTTTAGGACAGATTTTTACTTCTCTTAACAGTCCGTGGTACTTTCCACATTCTTCTCCAGCACCGCAACTCAAAAGCATCATTTCTTCTTCCATCTTCTTTATTCGTTGTCCAGCTCTCACAGGCATATAAGACGATTGAAAATATGGCTTGTGTCATCACACCTTAGTCCTCAAGGAGACATCTTTGCTCCTCAGCACTTGAAAGATGTCCTTTTCAACCAACTTTACCAGTGTTATACATCGTCTGATGTCCTGACTGCTGCCTCCATTGGTGGCAATTGTAGAACCAAACAATGTGAAGTCTTTGATAACTTCAATCTTTTCTCCATTCATCATGATGCTGCTTACAGATCCAGTTGTGAGAATTTTTGTTTTCTTTATATTGAGTTGTAATCCATACTACAGACTATATTCTTCAATCTTCATCAGTAAGTGCTTCAAGTTATCCTCACTTTCAGCAAGCAAAATTGTGTCATCAGCATATCACACACAGTTAATGAGGCTTCTTTCAATCCTGATGCCACATTCTTCTTCATATAGTCCAGCTTCTCAAATTATTTACTCAGTATATAGATTGAATAAGTATGGTAAAAGGATACAATCTTGACACACTCCCATCTTGATTTTAAACCATGCAGTATTCCCTTGTCTGTTTGAATGACAGCCTACTGGGCTATGTACAAGTTCCTCTTGAGTATAATTAGGTGTTCTGGAATTCCCTTTTTTCTCAATGTTATCCACAATTTGTTATGATCCACACAATTAAATGCTTTCATAGTCAATAAAATGACAGTAAACATCTTTCTGGTATTCTTTGCTTTGAGCCAAGCTCCATCTGATATCCCCGGTGATATCCCTTGTTCCACGTCCTCTTTTGAATCTGGCTTGCACTTTTGGAAGTTCTCTGTCAATATACCACTGCAACCATTTTTGAATTATCTTCAGTAAGGTTTTACTTGTGTCCAATATTAATGACATTATTTGATAATTTCCACATCCTGTGGGATCACCTCTTTTTGGAATGGGCACATATATGGATCTCTTCCAGCCAGTTGGCCAGGTAGCTTCTTCCAAATCTCTTGGCATAGCCAAGTGAGTGTCTCCAGTGGGGCATCCATTTATTGAAACATGTTGGTGGATATTCTGTCAATTCCTGGAGCCTTGTTCTTCACCAATTCCTTCAGTGCAGCTTTGACTTCTTCCTCCAATACCATTGGTTCTTGATCACATGCCACCTCCTGAAATGGATGAACAGCTACCAGATTTTTCTTTTGGTACGGTGACTCTGTGCATTCCTTAAATCTTCTTTTGATGCTTCCTGCATCATTCAATATTTTTCTCATAGAATCTTCCAATATTGCAACTCATGGCTTAAATTTTTCCCTCAGTTCTTTAATCTAGAGAAATGCTAAACACATTCTTCCCTTTTGGTTTTCTAACTCCAGGTGTTTGCACATTTCATTGTAGTAATTGGCTTTGTCTGGTCAAGCTGCTCTTTGAAATCTTCTGTTCAGGTTTTTATCTTGTCATTTCTTCCATTTACTTTAGCTACTCTCCATTCAAGGGCGAGTTTCAGAGTCTCTTATAACATCGATTTTGGTCTTTTCTTCTTTTCTCATCTTTTTAATGATCTTTTGCTTTCTTCATGGATGATGTTCTTGATGTCATCTCACTTTCTGGTTTTCAGTCATTGGTGTTCAATGCATCAAATCTCTTCTTTAGGTGGTCTCTAAATTCAGGAGGGATATATTCCAGGTCATATTTTGATGCTTGTGGACTTGTTTAATTGTCTTCAGCTTCAAGCTGAACTTGCATATGAGCAGTTGATTGTCTGTTTGACAATCAGCTCCTGGTCTTGTTTTGGCTGAAGATATTGAGCTTTTCCATCACCTCAGGCCACAGATGTAGTCAGTGTGATTCCTGTGTACTCCATCTGGCAAATTCCATGTGTATAGCCACCATTTGTGTTGTTGAGAAAAGGTATTTGCAGTGAATAAGTCATGGGTCTTGCAAAATTCTATCATGTGATCGCCAGCATTATTTCTGTTACCAAGGCCAAATTTTCAACCACTGGTGATTCTTCTTTGTTTCTAACTTCTGCATTCCAGTCCCCAGTGATAATTAACACATCTTTAATTATCACTGGATAATTGATGGATTACATGTTCCATCAATTTCAGACTGCAAAAGTAGATAACAAATCTTCAATTTCCTCATCTTTGGCTTTGGCAGTTGGTGCATAGATTTGAATAATAGTCATATTAACTTATCTTCCTTGTAGGCATATGGATATTATTATCTTATCACTGATGGTATTGTACTTCAGGACAAATCTTGAAACATCCTTTGTGATGATAAATGCAACCATTCCTCTTCAAATTGTCATTCCCAGCATAGTAGATAGTGTTGTTATCTGATTCAAAGTGGCCACAACCAGTCCATTTCAGCTCACTATTACCTAAGATATCCATCTTTTTGCATTCCATTTCATTTTGACAAATTCCAATTTTCCTAGATTCATACTTCATACATTCCTTGTTCCTATTATTAATAGATGGTTGCAGCTATTTCTCCTCAATTTGAGTCATGCTACATCAGCAAATGGAGGTCTTGACAGCTTTACTCCATCCATATTAGTAAGGTTGGTCCTAATCTGATGATGCAGCTCTTTCCTAGTCATATTTTGAAATCCTGCTGACCTAAGGGGCTCATTCTTCTGCACTATGTCAGATAATGTTGACACACTATTCATAAATTTGTGCAGTAATGTATCAGACAATGTTTCTCTGCTACTCATAAGGTTTTCCCTGGTCAAGTCCTTGAGAAATGGATAGCCTCTTCCTTCTTCCTAGTCTGTTTCAGTTTGTAAGCTACATTAAAACTTTTGCTCCAGGTGCAACCCTTCTGGCACTTGAAACACCAGTGACACAGCCTCAAGCCACCACAACACACAAGCCACAATAATACGACAAACTGACAGACAAGTTTGTCTCATTTAGTTGTTTGAAACCTCTCTGCCCCGCACCCTTACCTGGATCCCTGGCTGCTGCTCTGATCCGTCATCCCCACTGGCTCCTATAGAAATAGAAGGGAACACTACGTGGTTTAAAATCAAGAAGGGGATGTCTCAGGGTTGTGTCTTTTCACCATATTTACTCAACCTGTGTGCTGAGCAAGTAATCTGAGAAGCTGCACTACATGGCATCATGATTGGAGGAAGACTCATTAACAACCTACATTATGCAGATGACACATCTTTGCTCACTGAAAGTGAGGATAACTTGAAGCAGTTAGTGATGAAGATTAAAGAATACAGTCTGCAGTATGGATTACACCTCAATATAAAGAAAACAAAAATTTCTCACACTGGACTAATAAGCAACATCATGATAAATGGAGAAAACAGTGAAGTTGTCAAAGTT